AGGTCATAATTTATCGAGTGAAAAAAGTTACAAAACTGAATATAAATTTGGTTCCACCCATGGAATTATGTGTATTCATACACAGACATTTCAATTTCAGACACATACAAAATTGCTAAGAAGACTTTCGTGAATGTTGTTGCCGTTAGCTGCCGTTGAGTTGATTCTACCTGGTGGGGGCCACCTGTGGGCAGAGCAGGCCCGCTGCACAGGCCTGTCTCCTGAGGCCCCTCGGGTGGGTCTGAACTGCCAACCTTTCAGAGTCTCGTGCTTAACTGTTCACACCACCCAGGGCTCCTGCTTTTTTAAAATGGGGATTGTGAATTTATGTATACTTACCTGTTTCCTAACTTCTTTACAAAGAGTATGTATTCCACATATAATTTAATAAAAGATCTAATATTAAATACACCCACTGCCATGGAATTGGATCCGACTCATAGCGACCCCTCCCTGGGTTTCTGAGGCGGTATCACTATGGAAGTAGACTGCCCGACCTTCCTTGGATGGTACAATCTCATGGATGTATTCAGAATAAACAGGTCAATTTGGCAGACAACCCCCAGTAGCTCTTGTGTGGTTACTGATGTAACTGTTACTCTTTGTTAAGAAGTGCTCAGGGTCTCATTCACAGATGGTCAACCAAGTCTGTAAGTTGCTTTCCCCCTAGCCACCACTTTCTCCTTGACTCCCTCTTCCTTAACCAAGAGTCTTAGGTGCTTTCTACAGGAGTTGCAGGATTCACTTCTACCCCCGTGCCTCCGACCAAACTTATCCAAGCTGTTCCCATCACCTGCGCTAACATAAGGAAACAGTCATGAGTCTGTATTGGTTCCTTGTGTCCATCATCAAAAACTTCCCTTCCTAGAAGCCATGTCTGTATCCAAACCAAAACAAAAAGATAACCATTTAAAACCGTGACCTCTTCCCTTCCCTTCATGAGCAGTTCAGTTCACAAACCTGAGATGGGGTCCTGTAAGGCAGCCATCCACGCAGGCAGGGACGAGGGGAATAAAGGAGGATGTCTGAGTGAGAGAGTGTGCGTGTGTACTGGGGGGAGCAGGGCAGGAGAGGCAACTGACTCCGTACAGGACAGAGATAAAAAACGTAGACCTAGTGGACAGTGATGATAATGGGATCCAATTTTCACTCTTAGAGAACGAAGTGACAGGTATGAAATGGCAGAAAACTAGAAGGAACTCTATGGTACAGGCTGAAACTGGATCTATCACCATGAATTCACGGTTTTTTTTTTAATGGATGGAGGCAAATATATATACGTGCAGAGGTAAACGTGGGTGTATATATACACGTAGACGTACACACATACATACACGTACATATCTCCTCTAGCTCTGTTCACTAAAGGGATTGACACTAGCAACATCCCAACGGCAATACACACCAACACCCAGATCTTGGAATCAAGATCATTAAAGTCAAGGAAAGGCCCAGGACTGGTTCCAGCGTGAGCAGACCAGAGAGATGTGAGTTCAAGGAAAGGCCCAGGACCGGTTCCAGGGTGAGCA